GTTTGTTGAGTAACATCAATTGTCCTTTGATATATAGTGGTAAATGCTTGATCCAACAATACTTGTATTCTTTTAAAATATAGTTTATCCTTGTATATTTTTCACGTGGTTTGGACTACAATTATCATGTTTTCATGGGAGCAGGACAGAGTTAGCTGGACTTGGGCTTATGGAGTTGTAATGGGCCATTTTGTTGGTGATATAGTTGATGATTACCTTTGGAGGGTCTATATAGTTATGTTTGATCGACACTTAGGATTTTATATTGTGTTTATATTGGATGATTGTGTATATACTATATATAATTGTATAGTTGTTTTTAGTTGTTTTTATTTATATACATGTTATAGTGTGCATATATATCTAGATATTGAGTTAAAATACCTAAGTATGAGATAATTTTGTTGCTAGTAGTTGTGATTTGTAAGTATGATGGTCATAATAGATCGTTACAAATACAAAAATGCATTTAATTATAAAATTGTTTAGTAGTTCATGATATTATTTTATTTTAACATACAAAATGATATTCAAAATATTAGTAAATACTTATTAATAAATATCATATTTAGAAAAGTCCAAATTATTTGAAATACAATATGCATGATGATAAATATAATATCATCAAATATAATAATTGAATAATTTGAATTTACATTGTATGAATAATTATTGAAGATGTCATTTCACTATTTTGTCAGTATGGTGTCAACAGATCTTACCTTATATTTCCTATCTTCAAATTAACAAATTAATTTCTAAGTTAAAGAATACTCGTGAAACTTATATAAATATATATATATATATATATCACTACAAGAAAAATGTAAATTTTTGACGAAAAACTTCCGACAGATTTATATTTTCGTCGGAAATTTTTGACAGAATTTTCGGTCAGAAATTTTCGGTCAAAAATTTCCGACGAAAATATCAATCCGTCAGAAATTTCTGACAGAAACTTTCTGACAGAAAATTCTGTCAGAAATTTCTGACGGAAAAATAATTCTGTCAGAAATTTCTAACGAAAAATTTCCGATGAAATATTCTGTCAAAAATTTTTGACGGAATATTCCGTCGGAAATTTCTGACAGAAATTTTCGACAGAATATTCTGTCAGAAATTTCTGACATTTCTGACGAATTTATTCCGTCAGAAATTTCTGACAGAATTTTTCGTCAGAAATCTTATTTTTAATTATTATTTTTAATTTTATTTTTAATTTCTTTTTTTAATTTCTTTTTTTAATTTCTTATTTTTAATTTCTTATATATATTTGTAGTATTAAAAATTTTATATATCTTTTAAAGGTATAAATATATATTATAATTATTTATTACAAGTTTTTTATATCTACGATTAGTATTAAAGATGAAAATAAATTAGGTTATACTATATTTTATTATAATTTACTTGGTTTGAACCTAACTTTCTTTAAAAATATATATTTTAAGTGTGACTTATTTATCTATCATAGATAATTTTTAAATATTTGGGTAGAACTACAATCATATAGACTTATTTTATAATAATTTAACACTATTAAAAATATAAAAATCTATATGTTAAATTTATAAAAATAAAGTTTAATTTATTTATGATATAAATATGTTTTTAATATCTAATATATATTTTTAGATGATAATTTATTTTAAAATATATCTTATAATAACAATTTTAAATGTAATATAAATCTTATGATTTTTCTTATTTTGATTTTTTTTAATCAATGTATACAATTTTACTATTTTGATTTTTTCAATCAACGTATATGTATGTATATTATATATGTATCTATATGTACATATGTATATATTTATGTATATATTATCTTTTCTCTCTTTTTATAGTTATGTTATATAGGTAGTTTGGGTGTTAATTTCTTTTTTGCATGTTAATTACACTTTTTCACTCCATTTTTTTTTTATCTAGTACAACATATACCAATATTAATAGTTGACATAAATGATAATCATTTATGTCTTTTAATCAAGCTGTTCAAAGTTCAAATATTAACTTGAAGTATGAAATAAACTATATTAAGAGGAAAATATTCACCTTTTATACAATCATAATCTTCGATAAAGATTAGTCATTATTTTCTATAATAGATATTTCATATCAATACTATAATTATATTATATATATATATATATATATATAATATGATTTAACATATAACTATCTTATAAAAATAGCATGTACTACAAACCAAAAATACTACTCCACTTAGACGATACAAAATTTTCATTAGATGTGGAAAGAAGCATTGATAATAATTAGAGCTTCATAGTAAGAATGTTGGGTTTTTGTTTAGAAGAAGTTAAGCACACTTTGACAAGTGATTACTACGGTGATGAATTCTTTCATTAGTTCACATGCACAAGTAAATTTTTATTATTGTGTTTAAATTTTTTTTAATTATTTTTTGAAAAATTACCATTTAACCTTTTATGTTAAAAAAAATTGTGGTGACGCTTTCTCCTTCTTCCTCAGAGCCACCTTCATTAAATAAATTTAAGTGATAAATCTCATTCATTTCTTTAAATATCCAGAAATCTAAATGTATTTATTAATTCAATACCAGAGAACATGTATTGTCAATTCACTGAAGTCAAAGTCACTTTGACAACCATTTTAAATTGCTAGCTAGATGTTTGTTTAATAATTATACTAAATTAAAATTTATTAGATATAAAATATGTTTTAGCTCATGTAAATATAATTAAATTTGGTTTTTGTTTATTTTATTTATTTATTTATTTTTTATTTTGTTGCTCATAAATTTTAATTTTATTTTTAAATAATCCCCATCACCATTTGTGTTAAGGACACTACATGGATCTAAACACATCAATATGATGACGACCTGGCCAAGATGGGTGCAAACTCAAATGCAGCCATTATTGTTCTTCGACTGGCCCTCGTAATTATGTATCTCAACTACTTCAAATAGATATATGTCGTGGGCATTTTTTAATTACGTTTAATTGGACATTATTCTTCTTTGGCTTGTCTATTTTTTTTAATAACAAAAAGAAAAAGACATATAATGTCACGTGTTCAGAGGAGAATCTAAGACTTTGAGTCATTGAAAAAAAAATTAAAATAATAATTATCATATATACAAAAAGTAAAATATAAATATTAAAAAATTACTAATAAATTTAATATACAAAATTAAAAAATACAAAATATAAGATCTTTATACATATTAGTAATTTAATTAAAATAAGAGGAATACAGCTATTCACCTTCAACATAACATAAATTTGATATTGCATGTGTAAACTCAAAAATAGTTGTTGATATGACATGATTATAACATGGAGAGAGAAGGTAAGTGCCTACATCCCTCCCAAAGAAGCTTCATATGTATTTCTTAGTTAATATATAATACATTTTAGTGTAAAATTATCTAAAAGTAAGTAAATTAATTAAAAAAATTATAAAAAAAAACTTTCATAAACACATACTGAGTAATATTGTGAAATTTTAGTATTTTTAAATATTTTGATAATACACTATATTATTTGAAATTAAATATTTAAATAATTTGAAGAAGAAAAAAAAGCCCTTTTATGAGTTAATTTCTAGATCCATTCTTAATTATTTACATTTCATGTCACCATCTATTTTGCTGTGAGATAGATTATTTTAAAAAATATTTATGAAGACTAAAACTAACAAAAATATATTTTTAGACCATCGGAACAAAAGTTAGTCATATTCAAATGTTAACGAAATTTTTTTAACACTTTCTTTTTTATTATCTTTAATATTAACTAAAATTTATTAGAAATTAATGAGTTTCACAATTCATTTAATGAGTCGTTAGCCTAATCTAGCATTGAGATTTACAATCTTTTTTAAATTGTCAATAATAAAGAGAGTAATATAAATAGTAGAGGTGGCCCAAGCATTAGATTAGAAGGATGACTTCCTAGGACCTCTTATTTTAGAGGACCCAAAAGAAATTATTTAATCTATATAATATAAAAATAAAATTGATGTATAAAAAATTATTTTAGAAAATAAATAAATTTTGAAGAATTAATTAATTGACGGTTATAGGAATGACAAAAAAAAATTATATTCACGAATATCCGTTGATAAAACTCGTCATGGATAATAAGATACTTATATTCATGAAAATCCATATTTTAAAAATAATAAAAATAATTTTTATTATATATAAAATAATTTGATTTAATTAATTTTTACTATAAATATATATATGTTCCTACCGTAAGTTCGCTGTCATCGTTAGGGTCACCGCATCCGAGGTATTGTCAGCTTTGGCACTCGTTGGACCGTCACGATTTTGTCATTTAAAAGGCGTCTCGGTGAGTTAAAGAGGAGAGGTGTTTATAAACTAAACTTAGCCTCGACTCCTAAGCGATGTTGGACTTTTAGGCATATCGGAACAAGCCCCTAATCGATGCTAAGGGGTAAGAGTGGCATAGGCCCTCCTTCTAAGGCCAAATATTCCTACCGTAAGTCCACTGTCATCGTTAGGGTCACCGCATCCGAGGTATTGTCCGCTTTGGCACTCGTTGGACCGTCATGGTTTTGTCTTTTAAAAGGCACCTCGGTAGGTTAAGGGGGGAGGATGTTTATAAACTACCCTTAGCCTCGACTTCTAAGTGATATGAGACTTTTAGACATACCGGAATAATATATGTTATAAATATTTATTTTAGCAAAAATATTTTTAATATATATAATTTTTAAGGTTATTTATTGTTAATTTTATTTTATTTCTTATCTTTTTATTTCAATTTTACATTTTAACAAATATTCATGAATACTTATTTATATATATATATATATATATGTATGAAAAATTCATAAGTACATATACCAAAACCGGTCATGTAGCGGAGGACTACTACCCACCCCACCCTATTGGCATCACTATATGTGTCCCCTGTATATTTATATATGTGTATGCATAATAGATTGTTTATATGCCCTTCAAGACACAAAGAAAATAGGTAATGTGATAAACAAAGATTACTTCAATGCTGACAATTATTATGATTTTATCCTTATACACATACAAACCAAAATATTGAAGCTGAATTAATGACAACATGATAGAAGCCATTCTTGCTAAGGAAATCTTAGTTCCCTAGCCACATTACTAGCATTGACCATTCGAAAGTTAGTTTGGTGTTTGAGGGCGACGGGGTGAGTAATGCAGATGCAGATTTGTGTTGCTGCTGGTGCTTATCATTGACATTGACATTGGTTCTCCATTGGAATGATCATGATTTCTTTCTTGTTGATAATCATTTGCAGAAGATGCATCAAGAAGCATGTCAACTTTCACACACTCCTCTCTCTCCTGCCTAATTTCCTTCATCATTGCCACAACATCTTTCATGGTTGGTCTGTCATCAGGGCTTGAGTTCACACACAGCAAAGCCACTCCTAATGTCTGCAACATTTCCTCAATTTCGGATTCTGGCCGAGCTCTCAGGCTTTCATCTAACACTTCAACTCCACCTCGCTTCTGTCTTACCCAATCAACAATGTGGAGTCCATCAGGTATTGTTGGATCAATTGGTTGCTTCCCAGTTAGTACTTCTAGTACAACAATACCATAGCTATAAACATCACTTTTCTCTGTTATCTTCATCATATAGCCATACTCTTCAAACCCCATCATGCATAAAAGGTAGTAATGAAGAGATGTTAGCATGTAATTGTGAAAGAAAGCATATTCAAAAAAAAAATGTATTATATATTTGTTTAATACACATGCATTGTTGATGTAAAAGTCTTTACATTCTTAAATAATCGGAATGGTGTAATTTTTAAAATAATTCTTATAAAAGTCAACAAATTTACTATATTGGTTTATGATAGAATGATAATATAATTTTTTTTACCATTTTAATGAATATTATCTAGAGTTTAATGGTCATGCACTGTCAGTGTAAAGTAGTTTTACACGGTCAATTAATCAGATATCATCGTTAGTATGACTTTTTACTAATTTATTATAAAAGCTAACAACTTAACATAAATGATTATATGTGATTAAATGATAATCATGTATCAACTATTTTCTCAAACATGTATTAAAACATATTTTATTTTGTTTCATTTTATTTGGAGACAAACTCTCCTTGATGATAAAAGTAACACTAGATATTAAAAGTTGAAGTATTGGAGTAGTAGTACTATACTAACCAGGAGCAATGTAACCATAGGAACCAGCTAGTGTGCTAGAAGATCTTGCAAAGTCTCCATCATCAACTAGTTTTGCAAGCCCAAAATCAGCAATGTATGGTTCAAATTCAGGGCCTATGAGGATGTTGTTGGCCTTGATGTCCCTGTGAACAATGGGAGGAGCACAGTCATGGTGCAAATAAGCCACACCTTGAGCTGCTCCTAGTATTATCCTAAACCTGATTTCCCATTCCAAGCAGTTTCCACTTCTTTCATGAAGTAGACTTCCAAGGCTCCCATTTGGCATGTAATCATACATAAGCAATCTTGTATTTCTGTTCCAACAGCACCCCAAGAACCTCACAATGTTCTTGTGGCGAATTGAACCGAGAGTTTTCACCTCGGCTGAAAAGGAATCACGCACCCCTCCATTAACAGCTAACTTGTCACTTTGACCGTCATATCTTGCAGCCATTGTTGTTGGCCATAGCCTTTTCACAGCAATGACATCGCCATTTTCCATTTCTGCACGATAAACGATCCCTGAGCACCCCTTTCCAATCACATTGGATTCCACCAAACACTTCAAGACTTGCTCCACAGAGAAGTTTACCTTTTGGAATGGTGTGAACTGCCAAGGCCATGAATCTCCTCCCATCTCAGAATCATTGTCTGCTTGAATAATTTTCCTTGCTCGAAAGACAGTAACAATTCCGAAAATCGCCATCACAACTGTCAAGGCACTGAGCAATCCAATGGCAAGTTTGATTATCTCTGACTTCTTAGAATTAGTTCCATTCAGCATTTTTGTCATTGCAGCATTGCTAACAAAACATGCATCATGACCATTAGGACACAAACCTTGGTTTCCAGCCATGTCTGTTGCTGATAGTTGGTGGAATAACTTGATGTCTGGTAGATAGCCAGTGAACTTGTTGTAGGAAATGTTCAGAGAAACAAGATTTTCAAGGGCTGAAAATGCCATCAAGTCACCTTCAAAATTGTTGTGTGAAAGGTCTAGAACTGAGAGCTTGTTCAGAGAAGAAATCTCTGGTGGGATTATTCCAGATAATGCGTTGTGACTCAAATTTAGAGAAATATCTAGTGCTTCAATTTGAAGCAGTTCTGGTGGGATGCTCCCTGAGAACTTGTTGCTGCTAAGGTCCAGAAGTTGAAGACCAAGACATTGCCCAAGTGAGGAGGGAATTGGCCCAGAGAAAGAGTTTTTGCTAAGGATTACTCTAAGAAGTGAAGTGAGTTGACCTATACTCATTGGAACCTCACCAGAAAAGTTATTCATAGAAACATCCAACACCTCTAGCCTTGTGAGAGAAGACAAATAACTAGACAAAACACCAGAAAGTGAGTTATTGCTCAGATTCAGCATTTGTAGTTCTTTACAGTTTCCAATCTCAATTGGCACAGACCCAGTAAGGTGATTTCCAGATAGATCAAGGAAATTGAGGCTACTGAGGAGGCCAATTTCTCTTGGTATGTCCCCACTGATTCTGTTGTCTACGAGCCTGAGGCGAATGAGAGAACTGCAGTTGCCAATCTCAGGAGGAATTGGACCATAAATATCATTAGAGATTAGCAAAAGCTTTGTTAAATTTTGAAGTTTAAACAGACCTGGGGGTAAGCTATGAGTGAGTGCATTGTATGACAAATCCAAAGCCTCAAGGCTTCCACAACCTCCTAATTCTGATGGAATGCCACCTTCAAGTTTGTTCTGCCAAGCAAAAAACACTGTTAGCTTTGTCAAGCTTCCAAGCTCAGGTGGAATTGGACCTGATAGCTGATTAGTATCCAGCTGCAACTGTATGAGGTTTGTGAGATTGGAGAGAGCTGGTGGTATTGAACCAGAAATGTTATTGTTACTCAGCATAAGCTCTTCAAGATTTGAGAGCTGCCCCAAACTCTGAGGTATTCCACCAGAGAGAAAATTCAACGACACATCAAGAATCTTCAAGCTTCTGCAGTTTCCAATTTCCTCCGGAATTTCCCCAACAAAGTTGTTTTGCCACAGCAGCATCTTTTCCAGCTTCTGAAGCTTACCAAGCTCCCTTGGCAGAGAGCCAGAGAGGTCATTCTCATACAAAAACAAGTTCACAAGCTCATAACAGTTCCCAATTTCATGAGGAACCTCACCAGAGAGCATAGTACTATAAATAGACAAGGTCTGAAGCATGGTTAGCTTACCCAATGAAGCAGGCAATGAGCCAGAAATTTTTGTGTCAGCAAGACCTAACACTGTTAAATTCTTACAATCTCCTAGTTCATCTGGAATCTTCCCCATAATGTCACTGTTCCCTCCTGCTCTTAGAACCTCCAAATTTGACAACTTTCCCAGTTCCACTGGAATTTCCCCACTAAGACTATTATCAAAGATGTCAAGGTTCTTGAGATTGACACAATCACCAAGCTCACTTGGGATTGGCCCAGTGAGAAGGTTAGAGTTCAAGCTCAGATTTTGGAGGCTTTTGAGTTTTCCAACACTTGAAGGAATGCCACCCTGAAGACTATTTGAGCTAAGGTCAAGGACTACAAGCTCAGGGCAGTTCCCTATGTCAGCCGAGATAGTTCCAGTGAGGTTAGCCCCAGAAATGACCAGCTTTTGAAGGAAGGGAAAAGAAGAGATTTTTGAAGGGAAGGGAAGTGCTAACTCAACATTTTGAATGGTTATCTCAGTGACAACAAGGCTTGGTGAAGAGCATTTGATGTAAGACCATTTGCAAGGATTGGAGTCCAAAGGGTTCCAACTAGAAAAAGCTGAAGGAACATCGGAGGAGGAGCTATGCATCCATGAAACCAATGCAGTAACTTCATCATTTGCAGCAAAGGAAAGAGGAACAAGAAGTGCAAAGAGAAGAAGAAGAACATAGTGAAGATGGTGATGGTTTGTGATGAAAGCTTGCCTCGACATTTGGTTGTGATTTTGGTTGCTCAAGGCTTGCCTCGGCATTGACATTGGCAATTCCCTCAAAAACTCAACCAGAAGCTTATCAACTCTTGGTTTTGCATTGGGTCTCTCTTTGTTGTTTTCCTTTTTTTACTCTCACTACCTACTTTCTTGAAGTTGTTATTGTTATTGTGTGACCATAGTTGTTGCTAGGTTCACTATTATACTTGCTTTGTATTAAAGCAAGAAAAGGAGACAAGATAGATATTTTTTATACGATTTTGGAGTGAACAAGCACCACCACCTCTGCCTCGGGGTTCTGTTCTTTTGCCTAATATTTTCTGCAGCATTGAATCATGCACGACTTGTTTGGCATTAATCTAGCTCAAACCCCATGTGTTGTTGCATTGTTTTCCTCAAACTTAGTCACTAATATGGCCTCCACCATTTGTATATTGTGTTGATAAACGAGCTCCTTTATTTTTATAGACTTGCTGCACTACTTTCTGGCATTTTGCTCCTTGTTTTCAAAGCTTCAATCAAAGCAGATTCCCCTCCGTTTTCAAGATTATTAGAATTGCTCTACAAGCATCTTCGTCAACATTAAAAATTCTACGTTAAAGCATATCAATTAGTTAGTTCAATTTAATTACCATCACAAATAAATATTTTGCAAGTGTCCTACTAGGATCATTTTCGTTTGTCATACATTCTAAGTAACCCTTTTTGATACTCAACTCGTATCATATTGTTGCCATGTTCTTTTTGGGTTTTGGTTACGGTGGGAATGATATGATGACATACGTAGGTGGGTTTTATACACATTAAGATATGAGTTAAAAAGAATTACATATATGACAAAAAGTTACAACTTTGTATTCTATATATTATTTGATAAACAATAAAAAATAAAAACAAAATAATATTATTATTTATTTTAATTATTATAATGAATTATTATTGTCTTAATCAGATAATGATGATGAAAATTATGATGAGGTAATAGTGGTGGTAACACCATGAATGGTAGGGGTATATTATTAACTTTTGTTAAATAAATAGTATGTTCAGTCATATATCAATTATGTTGATAATTCATTAGCCAAGTAAACTCAAATTAGGTAGAATAGAATAGATCTATACAATCAAAAAGAAACATGTCAATAAATATCTTTAAATCATTAACACAGATTTTACCACAAAAGTTCCACAAAAATTAAATGACAAAAGGCTGGATAATGACAGTTCAGTTTTGTTATTTGCACAAACTTATTACACTATTTGTATACTTTTTGGTTTGGGACTAACAATATTTTCAACCTCTGGGTAAGTTTCTTTTTTTCTTCTTATAAAAGTAAATATATATTCTCAAAGTTGGGCATTTTAAATTAATTTTATAATAATCAAACAACCTCTCATACATTGGCTTTCCTTTCTGTCTTTCTGTTTCCCCCAATAATTACAACCATATGAATAAAATTGAATGATTGCATCTCACTATAAATTCACTTTTATCATGTATTTATATTGGGAATTCCATCTCTGTAAGAAACAACAAATGCCATTCATCAAGTAGTCAAAGATCTGCAAGAGGAATACAACCATACACACAAGAATGAATCCTACTTATGATCCTGTTCATTATTGGCAGTGGTATTTGTAAGGAATCCACTTTTCTTGGTGACATATTTAAGGTAGATTTGAATATGCATTCCCCTCACCACCTTCCCTTATAACTTAATCATCAACTGTGTGATTCTGAAACAAGCCGCAATTACCAAAATTATTAAGAAGCATAAGGCAATGCCTGTGAACACAGTCTACAAGATGAGAATCATTTTCTTTTCTTTGTAAAAACACTTCTCATTATTATAGCCATTGCTAACATATGACTCTAACTTTCGAGTAAATTACCCGACACTATATGAGGTTTTGTGAAATTATACTAATACTCATTTTATCTTTAATATTTTACAATTTCTTATAAGAATTATAAGAGAAGAGATTCATTTATTTCAAAAATAAGTCTATTTAAACTTATCTTGATTAATAATTTATTCTACATCAAATTTTAACAATTTAACTATTAAATTTAAAATTTTTAATGCATAAATTAAATTTATAAACTTTTAAAAACTTTAAAAATTATTTAATACTTCATTTTATTAATCCAAAAATTGACGGGTAATCATAAAAAGTCTGTTATCCGTCAATTTGAATTTATGAATCGAAGTATCAAATAATTTTTAAATTTTTTAAAAATTTATAGATTTAATCTAGACGTAAAGGACTTTAAATTGATTATTGAAATTTGATATAATCATGAGTTATTGAGATAATAAATAATTACAGAAAGTTAATGCAATGTGTAAGATATATTAGTGAAATTTATTTTTTTTGTGGTACACCAATATTTTTCTGGTATATATACAGCAAAATGTTTTCTAAATAACTAAGAGAATCATTCTAGAATTAGAAAAAGTATGAAATATTTGTGCTAATCTCGTGATATATGAGAGTAACGAGACTATAAATATAATTTTACTGAAACCAAGTAAAATTATTTGTGGTGACAAAATTTTTCCTCTAAATAACACACATATTAAAGACTAAAATTTAAGGTTATTGATTAAATTAGATAATTTTGTATCATTTAATTCACATATTTTTGGTGCTAATATTTTACCCTTTATTTTATTTTTACCAAAAACAAGATTTCACCTGAAAGCTAGATGGTAAAAGAGCCAGAGAACTAGTGACTATATTAGTTGCCCATTTTGTCCCAACATGGCATGCACCATGAGAAAATGACTCTGATGCAAGTTGCAAGGACATTTTGTACTCTACTTTCAATTATTACCCTTTCCTACTTCGGTTTCAGAAACAATTTCCCAACATCTACTGTTCATTCCACCCTTCCAATTAACACCTGATGTTGACACCACCTCTTCAAATGCACATCATCAATGCCTCTGCCACATTATCATTTATGAATATAACACTTTATTTTCGGTGTATTAATAGTATATTCATAAATGATAAGTCCAAGAAAAAATATTGTGAGGCTGTGAACGTAAGTTATTATGAGAGAAATTTCAAGAATTTAATTGCAATGTCTTATCGGTGTCAAACTGTTTCACGTAAACATCTAATAGGATTTGATAATTTTACAACATTTCTATACAAATAATTTGCAAATAATTGGTACACGTAAAAGAGATATTTAGAAGAAAAATAATAATAATATCACTTTTGTTAGTAATATAATATAGTACTCCTTCATAACTGTGTTTTTTAGTGTGAAAATATTGTATCTTTCCAGTTATTGCACAAGCAGGAAGTCAATACAACCGACACTTATTTGTTTGCTGTTATGGTAGTACGTTTCATTTTTAACGAGATTATGAATACCTAGGTATTTGTGTAGGAAATTAAAATATTATATCAATAATTTGATAATTTTTTTCTCAATAAAAATATGCATATATGATTATTTTCTACATGTCCAATAGATGCACCACTTATAAGTTGAATTTAAAACATTTTATTATATTTTAAATATGCTTATTACTTTTAATATTTTTTTAAAATTTTTAATCTTTTGATAAAATTCGTCATAATAATGCCATTGTACTTATCATATTATAATATTTTCAAAAAAACAATTTTTATCAATAAAAACCATTTTATTTATGACACTTGTAATTATATTAAGAACAACAACTTACACTATCAATCAAATAATGTTAGATATTTATTAGAGAAGTATTATGAGCAACGGCAGAGCTTCTAAGGGGTGGAGGGGCCATGCCCCAAACTTTTTTTAGTTTATATATAATTGTAAGGTTCTAGTGATTGCTATCACATTTTCATCTCAAGAGATAAGAATCCATGTCAACAAAGTTGAAAGCTATACATAAAACTATAATAATAAAATAAAATAAAATCACATTTAATCAAGTCTTCATATATCTTAAAATCCAGCATAGTGAACCGTACATCGAAAGGATCCATGACACATGACAAGAACATCCATTTCTTGAATATGTCAAGATAAAAAATTAAGGGCATTATATAGAATCCAAAGTAATATATGCATCACTTCATGACTCAGGTCACAAAATCTGTAATAATTGTTTTCAATAGTATTTTCTACAATATTTTTAAAACTATATATTAAAATTTATCTACATGTTAGTTATTTTCAATATTATAATTAAAATATTTTCAAAGTTATTTATTTATCAATTAATTATGATTTTAAGTCATTGAATGAAAGAACAACACTTTAATTGAAAGTAATATTTAATTATTTTCTTTATTGCTATTAATTTTATAAACATTATAATATTACACGTTAAGTTTTTGCTTTTGATAACATTTTTACTTATGACTAATTTTAAAGATTAATAATATTTTTCATGCAAGAATTATTTCATTCACTGCTTGTATATGTTTAAAATATTTTTATTTTGCATTATTCAAACCTACTTTTCATGACCATTATATTCTCATTTTATAAATATAGGAAACTTTATACAATATAATTTGAACCTACAATTTTTCTCTTGCTTGTATATTTATTTATTTATTTATTAATTTTTTAGGTTTAATATGAAAATTCTTTTTATGAATTTTGTGATTTCCTTACAATTTTTTTCATCAAATTTTGCCATGTTACTGGGAAAAAAAATACTAATATCATAAAATAATGAGTTAAAAACACTTAATATTTAAATAACATCCTTATAAAATTACCCCCCTAAAAATGATTTTATTAAAAGATTATATGTTATAAGCTTAAAATATTTTGTCCCTCAATAAGTTTTGGTCAAACTCGGCTGCTGGGTGTAAGACAGTAAGAGTGATATGATGGTCATGTGGGCACAATGGATGTAAGCCCTATTGAGAGATTGAAAAGCTCAATAAAATGAAGAAAATATATGTTGAATCTCTTTAAGAAAGAGGGAACTACAAGAGAATAGGGTAACGGGAAACAAAGGGGAAAAAACTATCACTAAATTGATAAGGTCCTCCTAACTAATGTGGATTTTTAAGTAGAATATTTTAAAATTGGGATTGCATTGGAAACCATAGTGAACCAATACAAAATCATCTGGAGGGCCATCAAGAACTGAATCAAAGTTGCATCTCTCTAAAATCAGTATACATAAGAAGCATTTGCAAATCTGCAAGTTCATTAAGAACCAATCCATCCCACAAATTAGATATAGTAGAATAAAATTCCTAAATGTTCATGTTAGTTCGCATAAGAGCTTAAATATCAATTTTTAAATGACGGTGTTTTGTAAAATTAGACTGATCATACAATTTTTTAAATGATCCCAAATAGTTTTGGTTTTCTACATATTCTCACCTTTTTTTCTCTTCTGATTTATTGGGTTGTTCTCGCTAAACAAAAATAA